TAGAGGGATTTATGAGAGGATCAAATAAGGGAACCAAGAAGGGATGATGTTTTTCATCCTCTCTTGAAGGAATATAAATGTAAAATATGAAATAAATAGCTTACCGCTTCCTTGAGTGACTTTAAACAACCCAAGCGCTACGGAAAGAAAAAGGGCCTGGAGAAATATTCGTTCTGACATGCAAAAATTTGGTAAAGCCACCGCGAGAAAAAATCCTGAAACTTGCCGTAGTACTTTAAAGGAGTTGAAAGCTCCAGAGCTACTTATGAGAAACTGACTGCTTTACATGGCTTGGAGGCTTAACGGATCAAAATAATTAAGAACGGTCTTAAGAGCGGATCAAGTTGTGCAACCTTTAATTTGTTATAATCCTTACTTGTTAGGGTAAAAACAAGAGGCGTGTAACAGAAATACAATAGTTCATTAAGAATTCAGCGTTGCTGCTGAGCGAAAAAATTATAATGGGAACTTCTTATCAAAGCCATGGAAATATCTAGCTGTTTAAAGTAGTACAGATCTTTCAACCATGCATCAGTTGATCGATCCTTTTTCTCTTCTGTACTCTAATCATGTTATTCTTATAAATCTGCTGTAGTTCAATTTTATACTTGGTTCAAATTTTATTTTCCTTTGATCTCGGTCATGTTAATGTATGATAGTGAGTTTGAAACAAAGGAAAATAAAATTTGAACCAAGGATAAAATTGGACTACAACACATCTAACACAGCTACAAAGAACCCTAGAGTTATGCTTAATAATAGATTTACTACATTATTTGAAAAATTTTTTAGGCAAGGTGAATAAAATGCTCGGTCCCAAAATATTTTCCTCTTATTATCCAACTACACCTAGACGAGTACAAATAACGCCATAGACGAGTACAAATATCACGCTGTATTTGTACTCGTCCATTTTAGAGTACCGGTTAAACAGGTTTTCTCGCATCGCGCAAGCGAAGAATTGGATTGTAGTTAGGAAAAAAAAAATGGCGGACCACGAAGAGTCAGAATGGCTGGCAAATATAGATCCAATTTCATTAGATGAATCGAACGAAGAAAAACAGCTTGACGACCAGAAAATTTCTTCATTTAATGAAGAAAATAGAAACAGCAACACAACAGAAACAGCAACACAACAGAATTCACATTAATAATCAAGGAGAAGGAGTTAGACAGGGTCAATTCGTTCAAGTATCTGGGCGTAATTATCAATGAGAATCTGACTTGGACTGATCACGTGGATTACATTAAGACCAAAGTGTCTCAGAGGCTTGGCGTTTTACAGAGAATAAAACATCTTATGCCAAGAAATACAAGGGAACTCTTTGTAAAAGCCATGGTGCTGCCAATCCTTGATTATGCTGATGTGACTTGGGGGGATAAATCCAACACCACTCTGATGAACAAGATCCAATTACTCCAGAATAAAGCAGCTAAATTAATTTTAGATATGCCAAAGCATTCATCAGCAACAGAAGCTCTTGATCTACTTGGTTGGGATACATTGGAAAAAAGACGAAGATCTCATCGTCTATTTTTGGTTTTTAAGTCCTTGAATGGACTAATTGATTGGAATTTTAATTTTAATCATTTTAAAGACATGCATGATTATAACACTCGTTTTAATAACAACATTTGTAAACCACAATCAAAGCGTACATGGGGTCAGCATCGGTTTGTTTGTCATGCAGTAGATGACTGGAACGCTCTCCCAGACGGCATTAGGAACATTTCCGATTTTTCAGTTTTTAGACGTCTTGTTAAAAA